ACCACGTTAATTAAACAGACGAATAAATAGAATAAATATAGTCTTTCCTTACACACAGCTTCCTCGTTAATTTTTGTGTCGAGTACTTGTTTGCAAATTTAATATCACCAGAAAAAGATTTAAATACTGCTATAACCCCTTGGTAGTTCGCTATTTCATTACAGCAACTTTTATTAAAGTGTCCATTATAACAAGGCGTTATTAGCCGACAATAACCCTTCACTGGTACAAGTAGGACAACGAGGGATTAATTGCACGTCATGGAGCGGAGAGACAAATTTTCTGCCTTATTGCTTCTAAGGTATGGTGAATCACCATCGGCTTACGTCGGGGATTTCATTTTCTTGCTAGGACTACCTATATAATAAAGATCGTTTTATATTGCTCTAAAAGTAACCACTTCAGGTTTTATTTTCAAAATGAAAGAAATTAATTATGGAGTTTATATTTCACATTTATTATGGCATAATTCTTTCTATAGCCGGCATTAAAACGGCGACTTTAGAAAAATTATTCTAATTTTTACTTCTAAATCCCCGACATATTTAACTGGGAAATGAAAAGCTTGCGAAATAACTGTGTTTGGATAGAAAAATGGGAGAGTGCAACGAAGGATTATTAATGTACTCCAATTCCTTTGCCTTTACCGAGTTAAAAACATAAAGGAATTGGGCGTAAACACTTGATTCCGTTCAATTTCCTAAAGTAGAGAGGCCATGTTACCATATACCCAATTTTCTTTTGGTAGAGAATAAAAAGCGAAATAAAATCGATGCGTTCTCTCCGACAAAAAAAACAAGAGGAGAGTCATGTGACAGTTGTAATACCGCCGCGAACGCGAAATGGAACAGACGAAATCAGAACGTTATTTGTTGCTATCTCCATTTCGCAAAATTGCTTATTAGTGGCTAAATCCTCGGATTACCTCAAATGCGCCTACATCTGTTTCCTCCCTTTACAATCATCCAAGGCATCAGCAACAACTGTCAGATTCAGAAATGAACAATCGCTTCCGACGTGAATGAAACGAAAAAAGAACGCTTTTCGCATACCGTAACCAAATCGATAACAGTAATAAGTGATTATAGTAGAAATTCTAGAAATACCTACGCTTCCCTTTTTCCTGAAATTTTCCACTTATCACAGCACACATTTCCCATTTTCGTATGTAGTAGGGCTATCCCGGATCGGCTGCACAATTAGAACAAGGTTAAGTATATTGGAATATGTATTAACATACCCATGCAGCGACAGTATTAATCAATCTGTCTGCGTAATGTTCAGCCTCTCGCGGAGAACTCGCGTCATCGCCTGAGGCTGCATCTAACCATATTTGTAACGTGTCAAAAAGACTTCAATACAGGAAAGAGATAAAAACTACGGAAAATGAAGCAAAAAATGTATATTTATGTTAGTAATGATCGGCCACCCTGTATGAGGTAAATTTCAAGTTTTTAAGGTTAAATGTGGTTGATATTTGGTTAGAGCACAAATTCAATCATATTATTTGATTTCTTCTTTTGCTTATGGTAAATGGGCCTACATATTTGGGCGCTAACTTAGCTGTATAGAATTTTGCTGCATCTGATATATCAAAATTTTGACGATAGATTACCCTGCGATATATTGAACATATCTTTTCTTAATATTGTATGATAGATTTGTAATTTTGACGGAAGCTTTAACTATTCTATGATTTACATCCTTAAAAAGAATTCTGAATCCTTCGGATCTATCACTAACTGAAATTGTCTGCAAGGACTATTTGATGGTTCTACAATTTTATCTTCTAATAACTTACCTTACTCCCTGTTAATTGATTTCTGAACAATGGGACTAAGCGCATGGTACTTTTGTTTTATTGGAGGTGACGGTATCTTGTAGAGCTTAAAACGGGGCAATGGGAAAGTCTGTTTTATTTTGTTCTATTTGTTCAAATAACATAAAAAACGAAATCGGAAAATTTCGATTTTTCCAGCATATCTTCGGAAGTAAGTAGCACACTTCTTTTATTTTTGTGAAAAACGCTAAAAATTAGAGCATTCCATTTAAAATAATCAAGTGTAAGCCAACTTCTGGTTGTAAAATTGAAATAGTTTCAGCTGAAGCGAACACGTTAAATAACTCATACGTACATATTTTCAGGAATATATTCGTATTAGTTTGACATAGAGAAAGCACAGCCAACCAATATGATGTAAAAGATGGATACATAACGTGAAAGCTGAATATTGGAACGCAGACAGGAGAAAATTAATAGAATCGATTGCAGCATATATTTGCTATAACTCTGATAACGCAATTACTTAGGTTAATTGAGTAGATTATATGTAGATATGGAGCATTATTGGCTTGCTACTAAATTTATTTAGGGTTGCTAGGCATACATATAAATAAATCAATTATAGTTATTAGGCCAACTGCAGTAGTTCGCTAATTATTCTAAAGTTTCCAATCATCGGTTTTTTATATGCTACGCTGGGTAACAGTAATCAATAAATTAAGATCGGAGATAAACTCGGCTTTCTCCACAGTACCCTGGGATAGAAGAATGTCCAATAAGATTACGTCTACATGTATGTAATTATCGTTTATATACGGTTAACTTTTTGAACTTGGGAGTAATTATCCATAATGCAACTGCAGGCTGCAGCGCTAATGATCTCTAGACGGCAAAGCGATGTGGATTATTAATATCAGCAATTAGTTGGTAGAGAATGAAGAGCTTTTGCTATAGTATTAAAGCTAATTGAAATAAATTCAATTAAGTTTTATCCGGTTACTCCATTATGTAAGACACGTTACTCATGAGAAGTAGGAAACTGAGGCACCAAAGAAAATTGATTTATAATCCGTAGACGTGGGGGAACCTATTAGCTTGTAAGTAAATGTAGTCAAAGTTAGCGAAATCCTTTTATAAGTCAACTCCTAATAATCTTACATCTAAGCTTAAACACTAAAATCTTGAAAACTTTGTTTAAATTTCCATTAACGTCAAAGTTCCTGCTAAGTTTGTGTGCAATGTAAGATATATTATTCTGTTTCTTCTCAAATTATTCTTTAAATGTGCTTTGTCACGCGTATGTATAGCATTACGAACGAGCACATGCAGTGCATACATTCACTGGAAGCAGCGCCATGCCTGTGCTTTAGTAAGTTATGTGAACATTTATTACTTGCTCTAGCGTTGTAATGTCTTTCGTTTATTCACGCCACAGTGTAACTTTGTAAGGAGCGCATCAAATACGTCATGCTTCACTTCATATCTTTGCATACGAACGAAAACAAAATCATGCAGATTTATGAAAGTTGTTCGAGCTTTAAAAGTTAGCAAAATCCATATCTACTGCATATAAGTTAAAATAGACGAAGCGAGAAAATGAAACTAAAATTAGATGCAATACATGTATACATGGTTACGAGTTATTCAGTCTGTTTTGTTTTCTTTGTGCCACCCTGTATAATGCACCAAAAGATTACATTCATTTTTTTAGAGACGTTTAAACTACTACACTACTATATACTAAATCGATTGCACAACCTAAATCGTATATTGAACATGCACATCTTCTGGTGCTGATAACGAAGATGCAGGTATTACGAACAATTGCGTGTCTTTTGTTTAAAAGTGGGGAAGTTTTTTACGCGTTACTTCGAAGCTGGCATTATCAAAGCTAATTGTAATTGGCGATTTATTGGAAAATTCATTGAAGAAGGTAATTATTATAATATGGTAGAAGTAATATTTCGTTGAATACTGAAAACAATTCGACAGTTTCAGAGAGTGTACATTTCTTTACGCTGAATTTTTTCGGGCAGTCAGCCTGATTACGTGAAAACGTAATTCGTCGGTACTGTAATAAAGTAAGCAGACGAAATCAAGCAATCTTACTGAAATATCAGTTGGTCCTGGGTGCGAGATCATATTTCACCACTTTGCCCGGGGGTTTCATATTCTGGTAGTTGGGTCGCCATCTTGGATGCTATTTTAAGCGCTTGGACTAGCGTCATCGGTGATTGTCGGAGAATTTTTTTAGTGGTTTTGAGATTCGAACCCACATCTTTTGTCTCATATTCATTCCCTTATGGTCTGTTAATACCGACGCAATTAGTCTTTTTACTCGATTTCATATTTATTTGACCTTTAATCTTTTATATATTTAGTCTCATTTTAGCTCTTGGGAGTTTCATCTGAGTTTAGTCTCTTTTTGGTGTCATTGAGGTCTCTTATTTGTCTTACTTCGTACCCTTTAAAACATCTTTATGCGTTTTATTTGTTATTTATTGGAATTAGTTTTTATTACTACGTATTTGCATATCCACTTATTTTCTATAAAGATTGGTTTTCCTCTTGCCTCATGAAACTGTAGTTCTCTCCAGTTTTACTAAACTTTGGGCTACTTTGGACTATATCCATCCATCTATTAAGATGCTAGCCGTCGTCGTCGTGTTTCGTCTAATCGCTGTAGCTGCCACGCGACCGGCCCGGGTTCGATTCCCTACCGATGCAGAATTTTTTTAAATTTTATATATTATTTGGCAGGCCCGTATAGTATGGGCTGGTATGTGTAGTAGGTATTCTAAAGCATAAAAGTTCGGTATCTCCTCGGGCTTTTCTCGTAAAAGTGATCCGCCAATTGACAATTTCACCAATTTACTGGAACAAATGGATTTATAGACAAAGTTTAATTTTTTAAACCTCTTTTTAGGGGCCATTGAATTTCGCTCATCATTTTTTGTTTCTATCAATCGGAAGCTGTTGCTCTCCGTAGTCTAAAAACTAAGGATTAGATTCCCTACTCCTACAGCATGCATATTTCACTTCATTCATTCTACAATAAATAAAACCTTCCAACCAACCAACGGCACATTCGGAGCAAGTATTCAATGTAATTGTTGCATAACTCTTCACATACAAACTTCTCGCGACCGCATTTCAAACTATAACAATAGTTTCTAACTGCGAGTTGATGTAAAATCAGGTTACACAGTGGAACTAAATTTCAAGTAATAGACGTCCGTTTTGACAAATAACTATAATTAAGAAAAAAATGTTTAATTCTATTTTTAGGCAAATTTATTCCAAATGCTTTGTATCCGGCCAAAACTCCCGGATCTGCAGATGGTTGTGTACCGCCCCGAACGACCCTTGTAAAAGAAATCACCCCACAAAAGTGTCGTCTTTAAAAGATGGTGACATGACACAAGGACGAGTGATCGCAATAATTGGTGCAATTATCGATGTCAAATTTTATGATCACCTCCCGCCGTTATTTAATGCGCTTGAAGTTCGGGCGGGTGATAGAAAATTGGTGCTCGAAGTGGCCCAACATTTGGGTAAGACAACTGTTCGTGCAATTGCGATGGATGGTACCGAAGGTCTTGTACGTGGTCTTCCCGTTATCGACACTGGTTTTCCCATTCGTGTACCTGTGGGTGTCGAAACGCTAGGGCGGATTATGAACGTCATCGGCGAGCCAATTGACGACCGAGGTCCGATCAATTCGCCAACTCTTGCAAGCATCCACGCGGACTGCCCGGAGCTGTTGGAAATGAACGTCAAGCAAGAGGTGCTAGAAACCGGAATCAAAGTCATAGATTTATTGGCACCATACGCTAAAGGGAGTAAAATTGGTTTATTTGGGGGAGCTGGTGTGGGGAAGACGGTGGTGATAATGGAGCTGATCAATAATATTGCCAAGGCGCATGGTGGCTACTCTGTGTTTGCTGGCGTAGGCGAAAGGACAAGGGAGGGTAACGATCTGTATCACGAGATGATAGAGTCTGGAGTGATTTCGATAACGGACAACACCTCGAAGGTCAGTTTAGTGTATGGGCAAATGAACGAACCTCCAGGTGCTCGTGCCCGCGTGGCGCTCACTGGATTAACTGTGGCTGAATACTTCCGTGACCAAGAGAGGCAGGACGTACTGCTATTCGTGGATAACATTTATAGATTCTCTCAAGCTGGTTCTGAAGTGTCCGCGCTTCTGGGTCGTATGCCTTCGGCCATGGGTTATCAACCAACACTCGCCACTGACATGGCCGCCTTGCAAGAGAGAATTACGACAACTACGAGAGGTTCAATTACGTCCGTCCAAGCCGTTTACGTACCAGCCGATGACCTAACCGACGCGGCACCGGCCACGACATTTTCACATTTAGACGCCACCACAGTATTATCACGTTCAATTGCTGAGTTAGGAATTTATCCCGCTGTTGACCCACTAGACTCAACTTCGCGCCTCATGGACCCAATGATACTCGGCAAAGCGCACTACGAAACAGCGAGGGCAATTCAGAAAATGCTGCAGGCGTACAAATCACTTCAAGACCTAATCGCAATTTTGGGGATGGACGAACTGTCGGAGCAGGATAAACTAACGGTTCAGAGAGCGCGAAGAGTGCAACGATTTCTATCGCAACCCTTTCATGTGGCCGAAATTTTTACCGGACATCCTGGGAAGTTCGTCCCGCTCGAAGAAACTATCAAAGGCTTTCAGGACATTTTAAAAGGGGATTACGACGATTTCCCAGAACAGGCGTTTTACATGGTCGGAAGCATTGAAGAGGTTGTTGAGAAGGCAAATAAATTAAGAGAAAGATAGAAGTAGGGTAAAGATTTTATTTAGAACTCGAAAAAGTTTCTCTGTAAAAATTGTAATTAAGCAAAAACTCTGTTAGTTTCTTTAGTTGGTAGTAAATAAAGTTACTGTGTAGCCATACGTAACGGTTTCAGCCAGCAACCTTTTTAGTTACTGTAACACATCTTAAAAATATACTCGTACAGAAACATCATTCATATTGGAATTTGATGCCGTTTATTTCGGTGGTATCAATGCAGCTGAGGTTAGAAAAACTGAGTGGTGTCATTGAAGAGCAACCGCGCTAACCTATCAAGCTTTTCGAATATGACTTTTCAAATTTGTTGTAAAACTGCGACCCCTAGATGGCGCATTCGTCAAAGGCGAAATTTGGTTCTAAAGCTTTCTGTAAAGCTTGCTAAAAAAAGCCAACTAATGGAAACTTCTGGAAACGACACTCCTATGAAAAACCTTTGGTGTAATTAAAAGAAATGCCGGTATAGTTGGTACCATTGTTATTGAAAGTCTTGTTTTGGCGTTAGTATTGTAAAGCGAATTGTTCGCATCCTCAACAAGCGTTTACAAACAAAAGTGATATTAAAAATAAATTTCTAGAGCTGTCACTTAGCAAGAGTAAAAGTCCTTTTATCGCCGACTAGCATTAGAATGCTATGATTATGAATGTCAAAATCATTAATAATCCGTCACTTTATGGCACGTGCCATAAAGTTGTGCCATAAAGTCGCCTTGACAACAAATTTAGGCTGATTGTTGATATATTATTTATTAATGTTAATAGTAATAGTACAATTTGAATTTCCGGAAATTGAAATGCCTGAACTAGATTGAAGAACACATTCATTTGTAGTCGATGATGCACTAGTAATTCCAGATACTGAGATAGTTGATGAAGATGCCAAATCCCTGATTCTCTGGCAGCTAACAGTGTTAACAGATCCTAAGGTTCTAGCAATTTTGTTCTTGTTTTCTCGTGAATCCGCCACATACCTACCCTTCCGCAACAGCATCGCTTTTCCAGTCACCATGTCTTTTCAATGTTCGAATGTCTGCGCCACTATCTGCAAGGATTGTAGCAGACGTTCTGCGAAATGAATGACCAGTGAACTGATCTGCATTAGGAAGGTTCAGATATTTGGCAATTTTACGAGGAATTTGACCAAAGGTATTGATGCCAATGGGATTCCACGTACACTTTCCCGCACCATAGAATAGAAAGAACTTCTCTATTTTAACATGCTTTGGTCTTAAATTTATGTACTTTTTAATGAGCTCAGTGTAATTCATGTTATCATCATTTAAAATTGTGAATGTTCTGGGTTGATGTGTTTTCGTATCTTTGAGATTCACCACAAAAACTGCACCCTCTTCTTGGACATCGCTTACACATAAATTGTAAAACTCTATCCTTCTGCAAGCACCAAATAATCCAAATATTGCAACAACCTAAAATCATACTTTTATAGTAACCTTTTGTAGCAATAAGAGAAACCCACCCACCTTCATAAGGAGATATTGTTCGTCACAAGCCGAGGTCAAAAAATTTATTAACTGATTCTTTGAGAACACCAAAGATTTTTCTCTGAATACCCAACTGAACACTTTTTTAAAAAAGCAGAAAGTTTAGAAAACTGGCTAATGTCAATGTCATTTTTTATTCGTAACATACATTTCAGCTTGGAGTACATGCACCACAATGACGAGGACTTGTAATTTTTTGACTAAAACGGAAGAAACAATAATTACAATTAGGTATATAATTATTTACAGTCTAATTGATCTA